AGTACTTCTTGATCAAAACAGTATCATCAACATAAACGAGTAGAAGTAATGTAATCCACACCAGTACTTCTTGAACAAACAGTATCATCAACATAAATGAGTAGAGGTAATGTAATCCACACCAGTACTTCTTGAACAAAACAGTATCATCAGCATAAAGGAGTAGAAGTAATGTAATCCACACCAGTACTTCTTGAACAAAACAGTATCATTAGCATAAAGGAGTAGAAGTAATTCAATCCATACCAGTACTTCTTGATCAAAACAGTATCATCAGCATAAAGGAGTAGAAGTAATTTAATCCACACCAGTACTTCTTGATCAAAACAGTATCATCAGCATAAAGGATGGAAGAGTTCCAGTCTGCCTATAGAGAACACCACAGTACAGAAACAGCACTCCTTCGTGTGCAAAATGACATCCTTTCTCATCTCGACAATCAGAGAGTAGTACTTCTTGTTCTACTAGACCTGTCAGTAGCCTTCGATACAATAGACCACAGTATCCTTCTGTCTCGACTTGAGAAGACTGTTGGTATCACCGGACCAGCATTGATGTGGCTTGAGTCATATCTAAAAAACAGAACTCAGTCAGTGAAAGTGGGTGAGGCCGTGTCAGAAGAAAGGTGGTTATCATATGGCGTTCCACAGGGTTCAGTCCTTGGACCACTCTTGTTTACCATCTATATGTTGCCACTAGGTGATGTTTTCCGGAACCACTGCATTGACTTTCAGTGCTTTGCAGATGACACCCAGAGCTGTATCGCCTCCAGGATTGTATCACTTCAGGACAAGATAACGAAGCTGGAAAGCTGCATCAGTGACATCAGAACTTGGATGAGAATTAACTTTCTCAAACTAAATGACAACAAAACAGAAGTATTCATTGCTGGGCCAAAGCACTTACAGGAACGTATGACAGAATTCTCAGTCAATATTGGACCTGTGAATGTGCCTGCCTCTTCCCAAGTGAAGAATCTAGGAGTTGTTTTTGACTCCCACATGACCATGAACAAGCAGGTCACCCAAATGTGCCAGTCTTCTCACTATCATCTTCATCAGATTGGTAAACTAAGACGATATCTTTCAGATGAAACAGCCAAAACTCTCACTCAAGCAACAGTCATATTTCGCCTTGACTATGCCAATTCACTTTTGTTTGGGATAACAGCTTCCCTGGTTCATCGACTCCAGGTTATACAAAACACAGCCGCCAGGATAATAACTCGTTGTCCTCGAAGAGACCACATCACCCCCCAGGTTAAGAGAACTGCATTGGCTACCCGTTGCCAGACGCATAAAATTCAAGGTGCTTACCATTATCTACAAGTGCCTGAAGACCAACACTGCTCCATCTTACTTGTCATCTCTTCTAAACAATCATAGACCAACAAGAACTCTTAGATCACACATAAGGTCTGCTTATCACCAGACCATCCAGGACCAAATACGGGGACCGCTGCTTTGAATGTGAAGCTCCCATGCTATGGAACAACCTCCCTATGTCGCAAAAATCCGCCCCAAGTCTACCAACTTTTCGAAATCATTTAAAGACACATCTATTTGAAATGAAATAGACTGATCTGCACATTATTATAGAAGTAGATTATTATTATTATTATTAAAGGAGTAGAAGTAATGTAATCCACACCAGTACTTCTTGAACAAAACTGTATCATCAACATAAAGGAGTGGAAGTAATGTAATCCACACCAGTACTTCTTGAACAAAACAGTATCATCAACATAAAGGAGTAGAAGTAATTTAATCCACACCAGTACTTCTTGATCAAAATAGTATCATCAACATAAATGAGTAGAAGTAATGTAATCCACACCAGTACTTCTTGAACAAACAGTATCATCAGCATAAAGGAGTAGAAGTAATGTAATCCACACCAGTACTTCTTGAACAAAACAGTATCATCAGCATAAAGGAGTAGAAGTAATTTAATCCACACCAGTACTTCTTGATCAAAACAGTATCATCAACATAAAGGAGTGGAAGTAATTTAATCCTCACCAGTACTTCTTGAACAAAACAGTATCATCAGCATAAAGGAGTGGAAGTAATTTAATCCACACCAGTACACCTTGATCACGTGTGGAATCAGCACTGATACCATTGCACCTATTTTCAAAAAGAATATTTTCGATGTCATTCAGGTAAATTGAAAACCGAAGGGGTTATAAACACCCAAACCCCACCCCCACCCCACCCCTTTGCACACCTGTATTGCAACAGAAGATATCGGAATTTTGTTGCTAAATTCAACAGCTGATTTTATATTACTGTACATGATTTAACAAATTCATAAAATCTTCTAAGAATGCCAGATTTCAGTAATTCTGTAATTCAAACCAGATCTCCAGACTGTGTCAAGAGCTTTTGTGAAATCTACAAAAGCGCACTAGTTGGCATTTGAAGAACAAAAATATTATCTGAGGCTGCTACATGCTTTTTGAAACCGGGTTGAGCTTGGGTCAAGATATTATTGTTCTCAAAAAACGTTGTTAGTCTAGCATTTAGGATGTGTAAATAATCTACCAATACGACGTAATATTGTTATTGGCCTATATGAGTTTGGATCAAGCTTATCGGCTTTATTCTTATAAATAGATTTCACAATTTCGATCAGCCAGGTATCTGGCATATTACCAAATGAGAATATAAGGTTAAACAACTCTGTATATAATGGAGCTAAAAGATCAACACTGTCAGTAATATAATCATTTACAACACAATCAATTCCAGGCGCTTTGTTTTGAATCCCCACATGAGTACAATGTATGAAGCCCATTTCTGGTGTCCCCCGCCGTGATGTTGCTGGAACATTGCTAAAAGCGGCGTAAAACCAAACTCAGTCAGTCAGTCGCTTTGTTTTGCCGCTTTTATGATTTTATCAATTTCCTTGTTCAAATTTTTATAAGCATACTGTGTATCTGCGTCGCCAAAGTCGGACAGTATATTCTCATTGTCATCATTATCATCATTGTCATCATTGTCATCATTATCATCATTGTCATCATTGTCATCATTGTCATCATTATCATCATTGTCATCATTGTAATCATTATCATCATTGTCATCATTGTAATCATTATCATCATTGTCATCATTGTCATCATTGTCATCATTATCATCATTGTCATCATTGTCATCATTGTCATTGTAATCATTATCATCATTGTCATCATTGTAATCATTGTAATCATTGTCATCATTATCATCACTGTCATCATTGTCATCATTGTAATCATTATCATCATTATCATCATTGTAATCATTGTAATCATTGTAATCATTATCATCATTATCATCATTGTCATCATTATCACCATTGTCATCATTGTCATCACTGTCATCATTGTCATCATTATCATCATTGTCATCATTGTCATCATTATCATCATTGTCATCATTGCCATCATTATCATCATTGTCATCATTATCATCATTATCACCATTGTCATCAATGTAATCATTATCATCATTTTCATCATTATCATCATTGTCATCATTGTAATCATTATCATCATTATCATCATTGTCATCATTGTCATCATTATAATCATTGTCATCATTATCATCATTGTCATCATTGTCATCATTATCACCATTGTCATCATTATCATCATTGTCATCATTGTCATCATTGTCATTTTGCTTATTGAAATATGCATAAAAAGTATCAACATTGGGCATCTTGCTATCAATTTGTCGGTTTTTATCTTTAAAATATTCCGAAACTCCTTAGGTTTTCTTTTAATCTGATCACGGAATGTTCTGTGCGACTTATCTTTATACGATGTATCTTTTAATATACTTATCCATGCACTTTTTATACGCTTTCGATTCACTATGGTAATTTAAGATATTAAATTCTGATTTTCATTTTCTAACAAGCCTCCTAGCTTTATTAAATTGTTTGCGTCTTTTTCTACATTCGTTTCCAAACCAGGGGTTATTTTTCTTACGACTAGGTGTATGAGGTCTGTATGTTCGCTCTCCGAATGTAACGCGTTGACTAGCACGTACCAATGTAGGGAATGGATAATTTGGTTTGGGTCTTTTGGCAGAAGGTGACAGGGTTGCAGCAATGGTTCTGTCGGCTATTTGGGATGGATAGTGGTTAAGTCCAATAATAGTATATGGCTCTGAAATATGGGGATTAAAGCAATATGATAGTGTTGAAATAGCTCATTTATCTGCATGCAAAAGAATTCTTGGAGTAAAACCGAACCCATGAAATATAACGGTTTACAGAGGTAGATTTCCATTGTTTATATATTCCTCCATTAAAGCCATAAAGATATTGGGTAACATTGATATGATGTAATTTTATGACAAAATTGGGAAAAGAAATTGTGTGACTGATATTAGAGACGTTGTTGAAAGCAGGTTATGGTTATGTGTGGTGTGATCACAATGTTCAGTCCCATGCGAATTCTATTATATCATTTCCACAAAGACTGAAAGATATGTATTTCCAATCTTGGTCAGAATCATTACTTCTGTCAACAAAACGTTTATATTATAAGCAATGGAAATCTTATATACATTTTGAAGATTATCTAGCAGAAATTGAAGTAAAATATTTCGTATATCTGTCTCTCGTTTTCATTGGTCTTCCCATGAATTATTTATTGAAACTGGCAGGTGTGCCAAACATGTCAGTTATGTAATATGAATACTGTAGAGGATGAGGTACATTTAATCCTAATCTGTCCTGTTTATTCGTCTCTACGAATGAAATACCTAAAGCAATCTTATTATAAGCATCCAAGCGTAAGAACATTTATTTCATTGTTAAGAGATACTAACACATTATTGCTACATAATCTCGCAATGTACATCATGTATTTAAAATATTTATGCAACAAAAGGTGAATTCCGTCTACTTGTCAGTTACAAAAGGTGAATTCCATCTACCTGTCAGTAACGAAAGGTGAATTCCGTCTTCTTGTCAGTAATGAAAGGTGAATTCCGTCTACTTGTAAGAAACAAAAGGTGAATTATGTCTACTTGTCAGAAACAAAAGGTGAATTCCGTCTACTTGTCAGTAATGAAAGGTGAATTACGTCTACTTGTCAGGAACAAACGGTAAAAGTTCGTCTACTTGTCAGTAACAAACGGTGAATTCCGTCTACTTGTCAGTAACAAAAGGTGAATTCCGTCTACTTGTCAGTAACAAACGGTGAATTCTGTCTACTTGTCAGAAACAAACGGTGAATTCCGTCTACTTGTCAGTAATGAAAGGTGAATTACGTCTACTTGTCAAGAACAAACGGTAAAACTTCGTCTACTTGTCAGTAACAAATGGTGAATTCCGTCTACTTGTCAGTAACAAAAGGTGAATTCCGTCTACTTGTCAGTAACAAACGGCGAATTCCGTCTACTTGTCAGTAACAAAAGGTGAATTACGTCTACTTGTCAGTAACAAACGGTAAAATTTCGTCTACTTGTCAGTAGCAAACGGTGAATTACGTCTACTTGTCAGTAACAAAAGGTGAATTACGTCTACTTGTCAGTAACAAACGGTAAAATGTCATCTACTTGTCAGTACCAAACTGTGAATTCCGTCTACTTGTCAGTAACAAAAGGTGAATTACGTCTACTTGTCAGGAACAAACGGTAAAAGTTCGTCTACTTGTCAGTAACAAACGTCGAATTCCGTCTACTTGTCAGTAAGAAAAGGTGAATTACGTCTACTTGTCAGTAACAAAAGGTGAATTCCGTCTACTTGTCAGTAACAAACGGTGAATTACGTCTACTAGTCAGTAACAACCCGTGAATTCCATCTACTTGTCAGTAACAAAAGGTGAATTACGTCTACTCGTCAGTAACAAACGGTAAAATTTCGTCTACTTGTCAGTAACAAACTGTGAATTCCGTCTACTTGTCAGTAACAAACGGTGAAGTACGTCTACTTGTCAGTAACAAAAGGTGAATTCCGTCTACTTGTCAGTAACAAAAGGTGAATTCCGTCTACTTGTCAGTAGCAAACGGTGAAGTACGTCTACTTGTCTGTAACAAACGGTGAATTCCGTCTACTTGTCAGTAACAAAAGGTGAATTCCGTCTACTTGTCAGTAACAAAAGGTGAATTCCGTCTACTTGTCAGTAACAAAAGGTGAACATCGTGTGCTTAACACAGATGCTGTGCTGAACACAATCACTTCCATCTTCCAGAGCTAGATGGGCTGAGATAGGACCAGAATATGTCAACATCCGAGGCTCCAGTTCTCTATCATCTGGAACCTTGGGACAAGCTCGTCATAGTAGCGGCAGCACTGGCAGCTCTGTTTACTATCGGCATCCTGGTGTTCTGTGCCATCAGCCCCCTGTGTTGCCTCTACCATGTGTGTCCCTGTAAAGACAAGGATGAAAAAGGTACGTCTATATGTTCAATAAGATAGCTATTCAGTTGACATGAAAAGGATCAACAGGCAAATGGAAGAATGGAAGAAATATCCCAAAGTGTCGCAAACGTAACATTGAAATTTCTTTCAGAGAAAAGGGGCAAGGAGAAAGTTCCTGCTTATGGCTCAACGACAGGATCGCATTCTCCGTACTATAAACCGGAACAACACAGTCTCTGGCAGCCTCTACAATCATTTAAAGACACAGACACTTCCGATTGGTCAGATTACAGTTCCCATGACGTCATTGAAATGAAACAGGTACCCCATGATTTGCATGTTAAATATGTGTTAAAGATCCACACATCAGTGATGTAAAAACGTCTGTCACAAGGTCGAATAAATCATTTAGTGTAACGTTTGTTTGCATACTAATACACTTCGCAATGTTGCAGACTAACCACGATGGTCTGCAGATAATAGAGCCTGCACTACTCCAGACTAACCACGATGGTCTGCAGATAATAGAGCTTGCAGTACTGCAGACTAAACACGATGGTCTGCAGATAATAGAGCTTGCAGTACTCCAGACTAACCACGATGGTCTGCAGATAATAGAGCTTGCAGTACTGCAAACGTATCACGATGGTCTGCAGATAATAGAGCCTGCAGTACTGCACACTAACCACGATGGTCTGCAGATAATAGAGCTTGCAGTACTGCAGACTAACCACGATGGTGTGCAGATAATAGAGCTTGAAGTACTGCAGACTAACCACGATGGTCTGCAGATAATAGAGCTTTCAGTACTGCAGACTAACCACGATGGCCTGCAGATAATAGAGCCTGCAGTACTGCAGACTAACCACGATGGTCTGCAGGTAATAAAGCCTGCAGTACTGCGACTAACCACGATGGTCTGCAGGTAATAGAGCTTGCAGTACTGCACACTAACCACGATGGTCTGCAGATAATAGAGCTTGCAGTACTGCAGACTAACCACGATGGTGTGCAGATAATAGAGCTTGCAGTACTGCAGACTAACCACGATGGTCTGCAGATAATAGAGCTTTCAGTACTGCAGACTAACCACGATGGTGTGCAGGTAATAGAGCTTGCAGTACTGAAGACTAACCACGATGGTCTGCAGATAATAGAGCTTTCAGTACTGCAGACTAACCACGATGGTCTGCAGATAATAGAGCTTGCAGTATTGCAGACTAACCACGGTGGTCTGCAGATAATAGAGCTTGCAGTACTGCAGACTAACCACGATGGTCTGCAGATAATAGAGCTTGCAGTTTTGAAAACGTATCACGATGGTCTGCAGATAATAGAGCTTGCAGTATTGCAGATTAACCACGATGGTCTGCAGATAAAAGAGCTTGCAGTATTGAAAACTAACCACGATGGTCTGCAGATAATAGAGCTTGCAGTACTGCGACTAACCACGATGGTCTGCAGATAATAGAGCCTGCACTACTCCAGACTAACCACGATGGTCTGCAGATAATAGAGCTTGCAGTACTGAAGACTAACCACGATGGTCTGCAGATAATAGAGCTTGCAGTATTGCAGACTAACCACGATGGTCTGCAGATAATAGAGCTTGCAGTACTGCAGACTAACCACGATGGTCTGCAGATAATAGAGCTTGCAGTATTGCAGACTAACCACGATGGTGTGCAGATAATAGAGCTTGCAGTACTGCAGACTAACCACGATGGTCTGCAGATAATAGAGCCTGCAGTACTGCAGACTAACCACGATGGTCTGCAGATAATAGAGCCTGCGGTATTGCAGACTAACCACGATGGTCTACAGATAACAGTGCCTGCAGTATTGCAAACGTGGGCCTGCTATATTGGGCCTGCTATATTGCACCAGACACACCCGCGCTTGACATATTTACCAACGTCCTGAGTATAGTGTAGCCTGACCAGCCGGTCCATTTACTCGAATTTAACGAAACAGTGCTCGGTGTTTTCAAAACTGCTCCCCAAAGGTAGTGAACACTGTAAACGTTTTTTCGTGACATCATTGTTTCTACATCGGCAAACATCGGTTTCCTAACTTTGATCATATACATTTCAGGATCGTCACAAAGAACATGTCTTCAAACCGATTCGCAGTGAGGCCCAGTCCCCGTCTTCCCCAACTACCTTACTGCTTGAAAAGGCTTCTCTGGTCTTTGGTCTAATGTATGACAGAGTCGACGGTAAGCTTACAATACGAGTCCAGAAGCTTAGCAACTTCTCAATCACCGATCCTGATGGCGCAATGACACCTTACGTCAAAGTCAGATTATACCGGGCTCCGCGCAGCTTCTTTACCTTCAGAGGCAAGGCGAGTAGGGAGCAGGAGATTAACAACCTCGATGTGGAGTTCCAGACGAAGATACTACGCAGGTCTACAGACCCAGCTTTCAACGAGATATTCATTGTGCCAATTGATGCGAATGAGATCCATTACTACACCCTGAAGATGCTGGTGTGCGACTTTGACCGCTACACAAGGCATGTCGTAGTAGGCGAGGTGGTGGTGCCATTGTCACGGGTTGAGTGGACCACCCAGACGGAGGTGGTGTTTGACGAGCAGCTGCAGCCCCCTGTTGATGTAAGTTTACATACAGTAATGGTGGTGGTGTTTGACGAGCAGCTGCAGTCCCCTGTTGATGTAAGTTTACATACAGTAATGGTGGTGGTGTTTGACGAGCAGCTGCAGCCCCCTGTTGGTGTAAGTTTACATACAGTAATGGTGGTGGTGTTTGACGAGCAGCTGCAGCCCCCTAATGGTGGTGGTGTTTGACGAGCAGTGCAGCCCCCTGTTGGTGTAAGTACAGTAATGGTGGTGGTGTTTTGCAGCCCCTGTTGGTGTGTTTACATACAGTAATGGTGGTGGTGTTTGACGAGCAGCTGCAGCCCCTGTTGGTGTAAGTTTACATACAGTAATGGTGGTGGTGGTTTGACGAGCAGCTGCAGCTGCAGCCCCTGTTGGTGTAAGTTTTCATTACAGATGTAAGTTTACATACAGTAATGGTGGTGGTGTTTGACGAGCAGCTGCAGTGTTTGACGAAGCAGCTCCCCTGTTGATGTAAGTTTACATACAGTAATGGTGGTGGTGTTTGACGAGCAGCTGCAGCCCCTGTTGGTGTAAGTTTACATACAGTAATGGTGGTGGTGTTTGACGAGCAGCTGCAGCCCCCTGTTGGTGTAAGTTTACATACAGTAATGGTGGTGGTGTTTGACGAGCAGCTGCAGTCCCCTGTTGATGTAAGTTTACATACAGTAATGGTGGTGGTGTTTGACGAGCAGCTGCAGTCCCCTGTTGATGTAAGTTCACATACAGTAATGGTGGTGGTGTTTGACGAGCAGCTGCAGTCCCCTGTTGATGTAAGTCTACATACAGTAATGGTGGTGGTGTTTGACGAGCAGCTGCAGTCCCCTGTTGATGTAAGTTTACATACAGTAATGGTGGTGGTGTTTGACGAGCAGCTGCAGTCCCCTGTTGATGTAAGTTTACATACAGTAATGGTGGTGGTGTTTGACGAGCAGCTGCAGTCCCCTGCAGCCCCTTGATGTAAGTTTACATACAGTAATGGTGGTGGTGTTTGACGAGCAGCTGCAGCCCCCTGTTGATGTAAGTTTACATACAGTAATGGTGGTGGTGTTTGACGAGCAGCTGCAGTCCCCTGTTGATGTAAGTTTACATACAGTAATGGTGGTGGTGTTTGACGAGCAGCTGCAGCCCCCTGTTGGTGTAAGTTTACATACAGTAATGGTGGTGGTTTATAACACACTGTTGTAACAATCAATCAATCAGCTGGATTAAATGCACTGTACACAATATTTTGAGACAAGATGTTGGTATGTATGCTCCATTCTTGTTACTGCTTGTTTCCTCCTAGACCAGATGTTGATATGCGTGTTCCATACTATACTGAAATCCATTAGAAACGTATCACCCTATTATCATTGATCAACTTTAAATTCTGTGAATATTGATGCATGTAGGATTTTACTCGTTCACAGTTTAGTACATCCTGTAGTGATCTCATGATATCACGGGGTAGAAAATTAGGAATATCTAAAAGTGAAAGACTTTATCCATTTTGTATCATTCCAAATGTAGAAACAGAACACCATGTCTGTCCAGTGTGTCCATTTTATAATGACCGTAGAAGAAAAGTCCTGCCAAGTTATTACCACAAATTTCCTTCAGAGTGTAAATGTAAACTTTTATATACCACCAAAAATACTCCCATGCTTAATAATCTTGCCAAGATTACTTTCTTTGCTCTTAAAATGAGGGGCAAGCAATGTCCATTACATAACCTACATATTTTATATTCACATGTATATTGTACTAGATATGACTTGTTGTACTCAAACATTGATACATGGTGGCGCAACATCAACATCTTTGTCAACACAATAATTGTAAAATGCGCCTGTGGCCTGATTTACAGAAATAAACTACTACTAACATTGAACAAGTTTGAACCCCAACTCTGCTTGAAGTAATCTGACTCAGCAGATAAACGTGATGCACAACGAGAAGCACGGAACTGTTCACTGTACTAAATGCCACGTTTATCAGCTTTAGAGAGAAAAAGAGCTTTTTGGTTTCTTGAGACTTGTTTGTCTGCACGTCACGTGGCAAAAGGTTTATTTGTCTCAATTAAAAAATTGTTCAGGTTAGCACCGTACCTACGACAAATTGACAGAAAACGTGAACGACGACACCGAAGGCAAGCACGTGTCACGACCTCGGCCAAAGATCAACCTCACTCATTCCAGGAACATTTTCAAGCCAGGGTCCAAAACAACCACGACCATTCGTGGATGAAGGGGATCATCAGTCCCCAGACGGTACAACATCGACCAAGTACCTCAGCGATTACCATATTGGTACAGCTGAGGTACTGAGAACAACAGTTGTTCCCCACATGGCGGCAGCGATTACCATATTGGTACAGCTGAGGAACTGAGAACAACAGTTGCTCCCCACATGGCGGCAGCGATTACCATATTGGTACAGCTGAGGAACTGAGAACAACGGTTGTTCCCCACATGGCGGCAGCGATTACCATATTGTTACAGCTGAGGAACTGAGAACAACGGTTGTTCCCCACATGGCGGCAGCGATTACCATATTGGTACATCTGGGGTAAAGAGAACAACAGTCGTTCTCCACATGGCGGCAGCGATTACCATATTGGTACAGCTGAGGTACTGAGAACAACAGTCGTTCCCCACATGGCGGCAGCGATTACCATATTGGTACAGCTGAGGAACTGAGAACAACGGTTGTTCCCCACATGGCGGCAGCGATTACCATATTGGTACAGCTGAGGTACAGAAACAACAGTTGTTCCCCACATGGCGGCAGCGATTACCATATTGGTACAGCTGAGGTACAGAGAACAACGGTTGTTCCCCACATGGCGGCAGCGATTACCATATTGGTACAGCTGAGGAACTGAGAACAACGGTTGTTCCCCACATGGCGGCAGCGATTACCATATTGGTACAGCTGAGGTACAGAGAACAACAGTTGTTCCCCACATGGCGGCAGCGATTACCATATTGGTACAGCTGAGGAACTCAGAACAACAGTTGTTCCCCACATGGCGGCAGCGATTACCATATTGGTACAGCTGAGGAACTCAGAACAACAGTTGTTCCCCACATGGCGGCAGCGATTACCATATTGGTACAGCTGATGAACTCAGAACAACAGTTGTTCCCAAGACATGACGGCAGCGATTACCATATTGGTACTGCTGAGGAACTCAGAACAACAGCTGTTCCCCACATTGCGGCAACGATTACCATATTGGTACAGCTGAGGTACAGAGAACAACAGTCGTTCCCACATTGCGGCAGCGATTACCATATTGGTACAGCTGAGGTACAGAGAACAACAGTCGTTCCCCACATGGCGGCAGCGATTACCATATTGGTACAGCTGAGGAACTGAGAACAACGGTTGTTCCCCACATGGCGGCAGCGATTACCATATTGGTACAGCTGAGGTACAGAGAACAACAGTTGTTCCCCACATGGCGGCAGCGATTACCATATTGGTACGGCTGAGGAACTCAGAACAACAGTTGCTCCCCACATGGCGGCAGCGATTACCATATTGGTACAGCTGAGGAACTCAGAACAACAGTTATTCCCCACATGGCGGCAGCGATTACCATATTGGTACAGCTGAGGTACAGAGAACAACAGTTGTTCCCCACATGGCGGCAGCGATTACCATATTGGTACTGCTGAGGAACTCAGAACAACAGTTGTTCCCCACATTGCGGCAACGATTACCATATTGGTACAGCTGAGGTACAGAGAACAACAGTCGTTCCCACATGGCGGCAGCGATTACCATAATGGTACAGCTGAGGTACTGAGAACAACATTCGTTCCCACATGGCGGCAGCGATTACCATATTGGTACAGCTGAGGAACTGAGAACAACAGTTGTTCCCCACATGGCGGCAGCGATTACCATATTGGTACAGCTGAGGTACAGAGAACAACAGTCGTTCCCACATGGCGGCAGCGATTACCATATTGGTACTGCTGAGGTACAAAGAACAACAGTCGTTCCCTAATGGCGGCAGCGATTACCATATTGGTACTGCTGAGGTACAAAGAACAACAGTCGTTCCAACATGGCGACAGCGATTACCATATTGGTACAGCTGAGGTACAGAGAACAACAGTTGCTCCCCACATGGCGGCAGCGATTACCATATTGGTACAGCTGAGGTACAGAGAACAACAGTTGCTCCCCACATGGCGGCAGCGATTACTATATTGGTACAGCTGAGGAACTCAGAACAACAGTTGTTCCCAACATGGCGGCAGCGATTACCATATTGGTACTGCTGAGGTACAAAGAACAACAGTCGTTCCCACATGGCGGCAGCGGTTACCATATTGGTACAGTTCCCACATGGCGGCAGCGATTACCATATTGGTACAGCTGAGGGTAAAGAACAACAGTCGTTCTCACATGGCGGCAGCGATTACCATATTGGTACAGCTGGGGTACAGTACAAAGAACAACAGTCGTTCCCACATGGCGGCAGCGATTACCATGGCGGCAGCGGTTACCATATTGGTACAGCTGGGGTACAAAGAACAACAGTCGTTCCCACATGGCGGCAGCGGTTACCATATTGGTACAGCTGGGGTACAAAGAACAACAGTCGTTCTCACATGGCGGCAGCGGTTACCATATTGGTACAGCTGGGGTACAGAGAACAACAGTCGTTCCCACATGGCGGCAGCGGTTACCATATTGGTACAGCTGGGGTACAAAGAACAACAGTCGTTCTCACATGGCGGCAGCGGTTACCATATTGGTACAGCTGGGGTACAGAGAACAACAGTCGTTCTCACATGGCTGCAAGTCAACGTCTCAGCATTTTGCAACAGAACAATGCACGACCCCATATTGCTAGAACCTTCTACAGGGAGAAGGCCCGTCATGCCGTGGGCGTCTCCACATCTAAATGGGGAAAAGATTTCCACTGGACGTCAGCCTAATAATGTCCATGAGTTGGAATATTGCGTCAGATAAGACAAGCTTTCACGAGAAGTCATCTTATGGATGAATCGAAGATGTGTACCTGTGCCCAACGTAAATTATGACCTGACAGTTTGCAGTGTTTTCGTTCATGTCATTTGGCCAACACAGGACACAACATCAGGCCGCCTCCGTCATTTATTACCAGCCGACCACTACAGGGATACACACCCGAGCGCGCCACACGCATGAACTGTACGTGCTTTTACGGCATACGGGGAATACGGTTGCAAGGTTATGGAGGTCAGGTTGCTACAAGAAACAATATGGTTGACAGCAAATATAAAACAAACAAAAGTGTATATTCTACACTTTCCCCTCTTTACAAAAATGAAATCAAACCCATGAATTTGAAATAAAAAAATGAGCATTTAAGGCTTTAACAACAACTTGTGAATCAAAAACTTGTTTAAATGTTTTTGTATCCCACTTTTGAACTGTCCTAGATTTACCTATATCTGCAAGTCATGAGGTCATCATGACACTAGGTTAGTGTGACGTCATTTCACCTCGACACCAGTTACACTGTTTTACTGGAATTTCAATAAAAAAGTCTCTCTGGCTTTCTCCGTTCTCTTGTGGGATATCTTCTCACTGGACTCTCAGACACAGGTATCCTTTGTGTCATATCTGTATGTGTAGTTTGATGCGATGCAGACGGCATAGCATCACTTGGAGAACGTGTTACCTCTCTGGTATCTATACTCGAGTTCCCTTCTACCTGTACATCTTGGGTAGAATTTCTCACCTCTGTGCTGATATCTTCAGTCGGAGCTGACATAGAAATATCCGACGCACCTGCCAGACTTATCAACTGATCAACATGGCGCTTCCACACCAGGTCTTCTACTTGAACTCTGTATGTGACAGGACCAAGGGCCTTCAGCACCACACCCTTTATCCACTTTCCAGTACCACCCCTGTAATCTCGCACCATGACCGGCTCACCCACCTGAAAGTGTCTTCAGCACCACACCCTTTATCCACTTTCCAGTGCCACCCCTGTAATCTCGCACTATGACGTCACCCACCTGAACGTGTATTTTACTGGAGTTCCCGTTGGATGACACTTTTTTCTGCATGGTTGTTTTGAAGTCTGGTTTGAGCAGATCCATTCGGATTCGAACCCTCCTTCCTAGGAATACATCAGCAGGAGTAGTCTTCGTTGCTGTGTGAGGGGTTGTTCTGTATGATAACAGAAACCTGCAGAGCTCTTGTTGAAAAGTACCACTGTTCGATTTCATGGCTTTCATCGCAGACTTGAAAGTTCGAACAAATCTTTCTGCCTCACCATTAGAGCTTGGATGGTAGGGATGATCGAATGTGCGTCACGCCATTTTTCCTCAGAAATGTAGAAAATTCATCAGAGGTGAATTGTGGACCATTGTCTGAAACAAGTTGTTCCGGGATACCATATGATGCAAATAAACGTCTCAAAACTTGAATAGTACTCGTTATTGATGTCGATTTCATTTGTATCACTTCAGGCCATTTTGATTGAGCATCCGTAACAATAAGAAACGTGTCACCCATCCTGCAAAATCAACATGAATACGTTGATAGGGATTCGTGTGCCAAATCCCAGGGTTGTCTCTTGTCATCGGCGGTGCAGACTGAACATTTTGACATGATTTACAACACTTCACACCAGTTTCGATGTCAATGTCCATGTTGGGCCACCACACATGTAACCCTGCCAGACATCTTCACTATACCCGGGTGAGCATCATGTAGACCTATCCTAAACGCTTCTTCAGTACTCAGCTAAAGCCTCCTTTTCAATCTGAGAGTAATTCTTTTCTGCAGAAGTGAGTGTTCTTGAAGCATACGCTATGGGACGTTCACCATTGATCGTGACATGTGATATGACAGCTCAAATACCATGACTCGAGGCATCCTTTGGATCATAATGCACAAGCACATCAGATGTTGTCAGGGGAGTACACAGTTTCTGGAACGCAGCTTCACATTCAATGCTCCAGTCGAAAGCAACACACTTCTGCAACAATCTATTCAGAGGAGCACACAGTACAAGTTCACGCATCCGAGAAAAGACCGCAGCTCTGTTAGATTTGTTGGCTGACACTGACTGAAATTCTACACCGTTCCTGACACTGACTATGAATGTCTTGAGCGTGTGTGAAATTTCAATTTGAACCCCGTCAAAGTTAGCGTTAATTTATGGTTGCACTCAAGTTGTTTTCTTCTTTATTTAACATGATAACAAGTTGTGTTCCGGTGATGTGTTTCTAATGGATATCAGTATAGTTACTGCAATATAAGACTAGATGCATGTGTGGTATACCGTATGTTAAATAGAGTTCTGGCCATGTCTATTGTGCCCTTAACACTGTGTTATGCTTGTAACTTATATGGTCGTTACTTGTGAAGCAGTTTTCTTCCAGACTATTCTTTCCGTTATGCAGGATATGCAATAATATAATGTTCCCTCGATTTGTATGGAAAGCAATGATATCGCATACTCCCATTATTTTTATAAAAAACGTCATTGACCGTTACTTGACACTTGATATGTTTTTCACAACCAAATTCCAGATCATTCATGGGTAAAATGTATTTACTTATCGACATGTCATTTGCATAAATATTAAAATCATCTGAACTGTTCTGTGCATAATAAGGTTTAATTTATGCCCACCTCAGTACAGCTCATGTAGATCACAGCTGTTGCAAGGTGAAAAATGTTACATTTCGCAACTAAATTTATATAGAAAGATGCTAAATTGGAACATTTCATAAAGCTCAGTAGATAAAGAATGGATATTGAATTGAGTGTCGTTCAGTGTTTTTACTTACTTACCGCTAGAACCTACATGTACAGTATTAGATGGGACATATATATCTTCGTACAATATATATTTAACGTACTTGTGTATATGCAGAAGAGGCCTTTTACGATATGTATTGATGAATATTTTTACATGTAACAGACCCTAAATAAAAAGCTGTCTACGTTACATACATGTTTTATTTGTTCGTTTTATTTTACATCAGGAAATCCTCGGAGAGGTACAGATTGGGCTGATGTACTTGCCTACAGCAGAGAAATTGAGTCTCACCATCATTAAGGCACGTGGCTTAAAGATTATGGACCAGACTAAGGCCTCTACAAGTAGGTTTACATTTTACACTACCCTACAAAATTATTCTTCCCTCCTCCGTTGTGTTGTGCCAGGCGAGTGTTGTGGACGTAAAGACCGACAGACAGACCATGTATTCCATATAAGCACTCTGGTCCAAAGTGAATTTAATGTCAGTGAGTTTACCACCGTTTACCATATTAGTTTCTAGGCTGTAGGCCCAGAGCTGCACACCCTTGACCCGTTACAATCTAACAATTGTTGTACATCCGAACATACTGTGACATGCACGTTTCAGGGGACCAAGAAGTATACCATTGTAAAATACTACATGCAATAGGATTTTACGAAAACATTAACTTTGACAATGAGACACATATAACATCCCAGAAGGACATTGTCCGGCTGTCGCCTTGGTAGAAACAAGTGAAAATTGTTACATAAACAGAAGTGCGACAATATGGCAATGTGACACATTTAGCATCCCACAAGGACATTGTCCGCCTGTCGCCTTGGTAGAAACAAGTGAAAATTGTTACATAAACGGAAGTGCGACAATATGACAATGTGACACATATGGCATCCCACAAGGACACTGTCCGGCTGTCGCCTTGATAGAAACAAGTGAAAATTGTTACATAAACAGAAGTGCGACAATATGGCAATGTGACACATATAGCATCCTACAAGGACATTGTCCGGCTGTCGCCTTGGTAGAAACAAGTGAAAATTGTTACCTAAACAGAAGTGCGACAATATGACAATGTGACACATTTAGCATCCTACAAGGACATTGTCCGGCTGTCGCCTTGGTAGAAACAAGTGAAAATTGTTACCTAAACAGAAGTGCGACAATATGGCAATGTGACACATATAGCATCCCACAAGGACATTGTCCGCCTGTCGCCTTGGTAGAAACAAGTGAAAATTGTTACATAAACAGAAGTGCGACAATATGGCAATGTGACACATATAGCATTCCACAAGGACATTGTCCGGCTGTCGCCTTGGTAGAAACAAGTGAAAATTGTTACATAAACGGAAGTGCGACAATATGACAATGTGACACATATGGCATCCCACAAGGACATTGTCTGGCTGTCGCCTTGATAGAAACAAGTGAAAATTGTTACATAAACGGAAGTGCGACAATATGGCAATGTGACACATATGGCATCCCACAAGGACATTGTCCGGCTGTCGCCTTGATAGAAACAAGTGAAAATTGTTACCTAAACAGAAGTGCGACAATATGGCAATGTGACACATATAGCATCCTACAAGGACATTGTCCGGCTGTCGCCTTGGTAGAAACAAGTGAAAATTGTTACCTAAACAGAAGTGCGACAATATGACAATGTGACACATTTAGCATCCTACAAGGACATTGTCCGGCTGTCGCCTTGGTAGAAACAAGTGAAAATTGTTACCTAAACAGAAGTGCGACAATATGACAATGTGACACATTTAGCATCCTACAAGGACATTGTCCGGCTGTCGCCTTGGTAGAAACAAGTGAAAATTGTTACCTAAACAGAAGTGCGACAATATGGCAATGTGACACATATAGCATCCCACAAGGACATTGTCCGGCTGTCGCCTTGGTAGAAACAAGTGAAAATTGTTACATAAACAGAAGTGCGACAATATGGCAATGTGACACATATAGCATTCCACAAGGACATTGTCCGGCTGTCGCCTTGGTAGAAACAAGTGAAAATTGTTACATAAACGGAAGTGCGACAATATGACAATGTGACACATATGGCATCCCACAAGGACATTGTCTGGCTGTCGCCTTGATAGAAACAAGTGAAAATTGTTACATAAACGGAAGTGCGACAATATGGCAATGTGACATTTGTCGCAATGAATGATATTATTTATTCTACCAAGCGGGAACAATATGACATTTTTCAAGGTCAAAATTTGTCACATTGTCACATCGTCATTCTGCGTAAAATGTTGAAATAAGGCATTAAAATGCCCGGCATCAAGATAAATGGCCACTTTGGGACTTTGGCAAACAAAAAGTTTCACAGGTAACCATGGTTGTTTTTGTAAGGGCGACAATGCGACAGCGTTTCTCCTTTCATAATATGACATGCATTTGAACTGAATGTTCAAATAAGACATTGTAAATATGTATGAACTTGGAGCTGTTTTCGAAAATAGGAAAATTAGCATTTTGATTTTATCTGTTACATCGAATGCAACAGTCAATACTATTCCTCTATCATTTCACACGTTCAAGTATTCGATATTAGTATATCTTTGTATCCCTGTGCTCAACGACAAAGTCACACTAACATGTGTGTTTGTTTCACACGTTCAAGTATTCGATATTAGTATATCTTTGCTCCCCAATGCTTAACGACAAAGTCACACTAACATATGTGTTTGTTTCACACGTTCAAGTATTCGATATTAGTACATCTTTGCTCCCCAATGCTTAACAACAAAGTCACACTAACATGTGCATTTGTTCCAGACGCCTTTATCGGTTAGATCTAATACAACAGTCAATACTATTCCGCTATCATTTTACACGTTCAAGTATTCGATATTAGTACATCTTTGCTCCCCAATGCTTAACGACAAAGTCACACTAACATGTGTGTTTGTTCCAGACGCCTTCATGAAAGTGAACTTGATGTTTGATGGCCGTCCCATGAAGAAGACGAAGACGTCGGTACGTCTGAGTGACGTCAGCCCGGTGTTCAACGAGACTATGACGTTTGACGTACCTCACTATCAACTTGACAACGTGTACTTCAGCATCGCCGTCATCCATATTGACAAGGATGCGGAGAAGCCGTCACGGGCTCTCATTGGTCGATTATATTTGGGCATGAACTTTGACTCCGATGCTCGTGCACAGTGGACCGAAATGATTCAGAACTCCAGGAAACAAGTAGCATGCTGGCACAAGCTACAGATTTGATCTTGACTCGTGTTGTTCAGCAGCTCTATATATACTACCTTGACTCGTGTTGTTAGGCAGCTCTATATATACCTTGACTCGTGTTGTTAGGCAGCTCTATATATACCTTGACTCGTGTTGTTCAGGAGCTCTATATACAGTGTATACTGACTTGATCTTACCTTGACTCGTGTTGTTTAGGAGCTCTATATATACTGACTTGATCTTACCTTGACTCGTGTTGTTCAGCAGCTCTATATATACTGACTTGATCTTACCTTGACTCGTGTTGTTCAGGAGCTCTATATATACTGACTTGATCTTACCTTGACTCGTGTTGTTAGGCAGCTCTATATATACTGACTTGATCTTACCTTGACTCGTGTTGTTCAGCAGCTCTATATATACTGACTTGATCTTACCTTGACTCGTGTTGTTCAGGAGCTCTATATATACTGACTTGATCTTACCTTGACTCGTGTTGTTCAGCAGCTCTATATATACTGATGGATTTGATCTTACCTTGACTCGTGTTGTTCAGCAGCTCTATATATACTGATGTATCGGGGGACCTTGACTCGTGTTGTTAGGCAGTTCTATATATACTGACGGGGGCTTTTATACAGGGATGGCATTTTATTTATAGTCAGTGATTATTCGATGGGTCGAACTGCTAGTCAGTGTTTTATAGATGGATCCGACTCCAGTCAATGTTATGTTTATTATTATTATTGTTCTTGTTATTGTTGTTGTCGCAGTTATAGCTCCAATAAGTAGTGGGCCACATACAGTCAAGCTGTTATAGCTCCAATAAGCGGTGGGCTACATACAGTCAAGCTGTTATAATAAGCAGTGGGCCACATACAGTCAAGCTGTTATAGCTCCAATAAGCGGTGGGCTACATACAGTCAAGCTGTTATAATAAGCAGTGGGCCACATACAGGCAAGCTGTTATAGCTCCACTAAGCGGTGGGCCACATACAGTCAAGCTGTTATAGCTCCACTAAGCGGTGGGCCACATACAGTCAAGCTGTTATAGCTCCAATAAGCGGTGGGCTACATACAGTCAAGCTGTTACTCTTGTTGTATTGTATACAGATCATACAGACACACACATCTGTAATTGTCACAAGTACGTTCCCCATGTTTCCTGACGTTAAGTGTTTGGCTGTGTACATGCGTGATGTGTGTTTAGGTGAAAGAGATATATTATTATATAGCCTTTTGGGGCGAAAAGTGCAAACGAGGTTTTCCCGGAAATCTGACTGAAGCAACTTTGAAAACGATTCCTTGATTCTTCTTTTCGAAAATCATATCGATTATCCATAATGTGATTATATATCTAAGTTCAGACAAAGTGAAAAAATAAAGTTGTGGAACTGGGTAGAAAATGGACACGTTATCGTGGTGGCCGACACAAAGGAGTTTTCGGGCCTCTCAGTCGCCATTGGCAGCTACTAACCATTGTACACGAGAAAATACCAACTGTCCTTGTCGCTGGTGATAAGCCGCTGTGTGGTTATTATAACAGCGACTTGTAAGATTACAGACAACTGTTTCTCTCAATAATAATGATGTAGCAGATGTTGTGACACCGAAGTGCCACATCATTTTGAAGTAAAGCAGATGTTGTGACACAGAAGGGCCACATCATTTTGAAGTAAGGCAGATGTTGTGACACCGAAATGCCACATCATTTTGAAGTAAGGCAGATGTTGTGACACCGAAGTGCAACATCATTGTGAAGTAAGGCAGATGTTGTGACACCGAAGGGCCACATCATTTTGAAGTAAGGCAGATGTTGTGACACCGAAGTGCCACATCATTTTGAAGTAAGGCAGATGTTGTGACAGATAGATTCTGGAGGAAATACATTATATAAATCGATGACTTCAACAGGGAACACGTCTTGTATACTGTAACTGGAAGATTTCAAACTGTTAGTAAATATTAGTAGCACTGAAGTGTTGTGAAAACAAATACTTGAATTACCCCAGTGCCTAGCGGAACATTCGTCCTGTGGTTGAGGGAAGCAGGTTATTTTTGCGGTTAATATGATATATTCATTCACTGGGAAAAATATTTCACCAGTGCAAATGGTTTGGAAGGAAATATTCAGAAGAAACCCCTCACCCCTCACCCCTCGACCCTCACCCTCACCCCTCATCCCTCGCCCCCACCCCCTCATCCCTCGCCCCCACCCCACACCTCGCCCCTCACCCCTCATCCCTCACCCCTCATCCCTCACCCCTCCAGCCGCAACCCCCAATACACAATGCCGACCCCAGATGTATGGTGAGAGCCCCTTTAGCCACGTGGTCGGGGATATCATTTAGCTGCTAATCTTGTAAGAATGTTGGCTGTGATCATTTGTGCCACGTATTATGATACTGTTATTATTTATACGTTCATCTATGTGCTGATGTTGGCTTTGTATATTGGAGTTGTGTGATACGTGATGACGTGAATGTAGCCGGACTGACATACTTCCGGAAGTACCGGGGATACATGGACGTCAAAGTCATGGACGTTAAATCAATGTCAAAAAATATTCAGAGCCTTAAATTGGCTATTTTTCAAAATATAATATTAAACACTTGTCCATGAATGGTATGCTTCTGAAATATTGTCGTGACAAATTGCATATTCATTAATGTACGCATTTGTTGTAATGTTGTATTTAGTTTAACATTCGGACTTTACAGAGGTGTATAACCTGTAACCTGACAGCGGTTTAGTTCGGGACACGTATACACAGAATAGTGATATAATGCCGCTTGGATACCGCTTGAATGTGTAGTTTCACACTTGCATAAATATTGTTCACAGAATCAATACATATATACACGCGTGGAGAAACGGATGAATAGCACCATATCTAGGTCACATTAATGCTTATTTCAAACGCAGAGTAATTTTCTGCTGACATAAGCATTTCTTGCTAATAATTCCGACACCTTCCACTAATATTACGTTTTGCAGATTTTGAAATATGAAACAGTAATATGACGAACGATTTCAATAATATTAAATAAATCAATTATAATGACAAAACAGCATTTACTGATATGGGTTTTTGCAACATTTTCATCATTCTGACAACACTCATCCTCAATAATTGCGCAGGTTTTCACTAGTATATAAATAATTTATAAATTATTCACTAAATTGGACCTACCCAAAGAATTTCTAACGTTATCCGCAATTTACATGTCTGAAAACAGACTGTGAAACAATACATAACCTTAATACCAGTATCAGCACTGAACACCTTATTCTTGGAGGTGCAGTTTTAGCAACAATCAGTTATGGATGTACTCTTTCTTCATTTTTCCCCGACAGTTTATGACATTACATACAATGATATATTCGGCCATTCGTAGTTCTCATTTCAAGCAGTTAAAATAAGAGAACATCTTAATATCTTCAAACAGACATACTTGTTGAAAACTCCCCTCCACACATGTATGTCACAGATATACAAGACAGAGAGATGAAATATGTGAATAACAGATACAAATAAGTAAATACTTTTTGCAAAGGTTGTTTGAAAATGCTTACACCGAATTTAAATCACAGAGGATAGTGTGTTCAAAATATATTTTAAGTCGTTACATCTTGAATTAATTTTTTTTCAATACTATATCACAACCATCTAATTATAATTATAAATGTAATCTGAAAACAAATATAAATATTTGTCATGTACACACGTTTTGAAACCACGAAGGTATTTTACCTGGTGATGTATTGAAGGTATTTCACCTGGTGATGTATTGAAGGTATTTCACCTGGTGATGTATTGAAGGTATTTCACCTGGTGATGCATTCAAGGTATTTCACCTGGTGATGTATTGAAGGTTTTTCACCTGGTGATGTATTGAAGGTATTTCACCTGGTGATGTATTGAAGGTATTTCACCTGGTGATGTATTGAAGATTATATGATCTATGTGTCTGGTATAACCGTCGCTAGTGTAGATGAATGGAAGCTGGACTGACGGGTGTTGTCACACACAGACTATGGTATCTGTACTTGAAACACATAGGTCAGTCCTGCCTCCCTTGATGCTAGAGCTGCTTGATGCCACTTACAATTTTCTTATATAGAATTGTAAATATGTATATTGTAAAGTGCTTCAAAATACAATGAAACCTCATAAACCTCATTCGAATATTCTAGATAAAAGAATTTTCGAAAAAATGCATTTTAGCACAGATTCATTTACAACCTTTTAATCCTTCAACTCCAACAAAACTGAGAAATAGCGGAGTGTTGTTTTATTCAGCCGACCAGGAATAGGTAAACTGTTAACCTCATTTACTTAACCTAAACAGAATAAAATCTCTAATCACAACAAATTCGAACGAATCGCGACAGATTCGTTTCGTTTCAGGTAACTCGAAACTAGCTTCCTGTCCTCTTCTGTCCACCAACAGTTTTAGCTAAGGGACCCTGAATACTGAGTGCTCCTGATACACAGGTTCCGGGTTGTGCAGGTTTCACTGTATCTGCAAAACAAGATGGCTGGGCATAGTGCAATAGCCTTGTATGAGATATTATATAAAAATGTTGATTTGTATACTATAATAGGTGTATCATTGAATATATGAAATAAAATATACATACATTATACAGAATCTTCGTGATTATTTACGCGTGCAGTGAATACCATCCTGTGTGTGACACCATATATATAGGCCTTGTGTATGACAAGTTATACAGGGCTTGTGTGTGACACCGTGTATACAGAGGCCTTGTGTGTGGCAAGTTATAGAGGTCTTGTGTATGACACCGTGTACACAGAGGCTTTGTGTATGACAAGTTATCTTGAGAGGTCTAGTGTGTGACACCGTATACAGAGGCCTTGTCTATGACAAGTTATAAAGGTCCTGTGTATGACACCGTATACAGAGGCCTTGTGTATGACAATTTATAGAGGTCTTGTGTGTGACACCGTGTATACAGAGGCCTTGTGTATGACAAGTTATAGAGCTCTTGTGTGTGACACCGTATACAGAGGCCTTGTGTATGACAAGTTATAGAGGTCTTGTGTATGACACTGTGTATACAGAGGCCTTGTGTGTGACACCGTATACAGAGGTCTTGTTTATGACAAGTTATAGAGGTCTTGTGTATGACAAGTTATAAAGGTTTTGTGTATGAGAACGTATACAGAGGCCTGCTGTATGACAAGTTTTAGAGGTCTTGTGTATGAGAACGTATACAGAGGCCTTGTGTATGACGGGTTATATAGGACCAGTGTGTGACACCGTGTATACAGAGGCCTTGTGTATGGCAAGTTATAGAGGTCTTGTGTATGACACCGTGTACACAGAGGCTTTGTGTATGACAATTTATAGAGGTCTTGTGTGTGACACCGTGTATACAGAGGCCTTGTGTATGACAAGTTATAGAGCTCTTGTGTGTGACACCGTATACAGAGGCCTTGTGTATGACACTGTGTATACAGAGGCCTTGTGTATGACAATTTATAGAGGTCTTGTGTATGACTCTGTGTATACAGAGGCCTTGTGTGTGACACCGTATACAGAGGTCTTGGTTATGACAAGTTATAGAGGTCTTGTGTATGACAAGTTATAAAGGTTTTGTGTATGAGAACGTATACAGAGGCCTGCTGTATGACAAGTTATACAGGGCTTGTGTATGAGAACGTATACAGAGGCCTTGTGTATGACGGGTTATATAGGACCAGTGTGTGACACCGTGTATACAGAGGCCTTGTGTATGACAAGTTAAATAGGACCAGTGTGTGATACCGTATAGAGAGGCCTAGTGTATGACAAGTTATAGAGGTTTTGTGTATGACGGGT